GGTTCTGCGGGTGCCGCAGCTTCGTGACTACGTGCGTGACCCTCGTGATCATATCCAAGATGCTGATGCCGCCTATCCTGGTCCAGTTCGTACGTTCGTCAAGATGCTCAACCAGCTCAACTGGCGCTGGCCATCCTTTGACATCCTGCTGACCGACTTGGGCACTCCCATTTCGTGGCTCGAAGGGCACAGTGACTTTCTCATGCATCGTCTTCGAGACGCCCAACGACGGTGGTTTCAACGTAAGGTGCCCACTACGCGGAACGACCTCGGAGACGTGGCCAAGCGCAAGTCCGGCATTGACATGGTTTCAAATTCTTGGCTCTTGCGAACACGCAGACTCAGGCATCGTCTTACTAAGTGGCAGCGTGGTCTTTTGTCTGTGTTTCTAGCCGGCGGCGATCACACGCAACAGAGATTGCAAATATCATCAATTTCAGAAGACACTTCTGCGGTGTGCAGGTTCTGTGACAGAGATAGGGGAAACGCAAGAACACATCCTGTGGGAGTGCCCTTGCTGACGAGAAGAGCGCGCACCACTGCTCCAATATCCTCAAGTTCAAGAACGTGATCATTGGCCGCCGTCAACACGTCATTCTGGTCTCACCTACATCGATGAGGAGACGATCAACCTCTACAACGAACTCGTAGCCCTACCTGAACCCCCACAACATCGACCCCCACAGCAAGTGGACGACGACCCCGCCGAGGACATGGTCAACTACATCACCGACGACGAGAACAAGCGGTGGCTGGCCCTAGCTACGGATGGCGCCTGCCGTTTCCCTCAACATCAGTGGCTAGCTCGAGCTGGATATGCTGTATATGTGGCGCCACACCACCGCCTAAACTATTCCTCGAAGCTATGCGGACCACGACAAAGTAGTGCACGCGCTGAAGCCCGAGCTCTACTTCATGTTGTACGCGTTGCGGAAGAGCCCGCTTGGATCTACTGCGACAATCAACAATATGTCCGTGAATTCAACAATCTACTACAAGGAGGAGCCGCCTGGAGGAAGCTGGAATGACATCTGGACCCAGATAAAGATTGCGATTGACGCCAAGCCCGAGATGTTCTACATCGAGCACGTGTACTCGCACCAGGGCGATGACGGTGTGGACCGCGGCGCTGTGCATCCGCTCGCCGAGGGGTTGAATAAAAATGTTGATGTGCTTGCCGCTAATGCCGCCAAGTTACACCCCCTCCCGACCTCTGTAATTCAGAACGCCAGGGGCCGTTTTACTTTGACCACTTTAATGCATCGATCGATTGTTCGAATTTTAGAGAAGCGTGCTGTGACGAGACCCCTTCCCCATCGGTCTGCGGGGTTCTCGGAGTCCCAACTCGCTCGTCTCGCTCCTTTCACTTCCGACCCTCTCCCGCCTCCTCCTCCTCCCCCTCCCCCTCCCGACTGGGGGGGGGGGGGGCGATGGGGGTCGAGGTCGAGCTCGAAGATGAGGCCGACTATGACCCTTTCGGATTTGGTTTCGAGTTAGGTTAGCCTCTCGTCCGATCCAGCTTGGCAACTATTTAGATAGTGCCTCGACCCGTGCCCGAGGCAAGAGGTCGCCGCTTCCGTCTCGGTTTCAGATGTGGCGGGCTCCGTTTCAGAGTTTAAACGAAGGGGGAGCCCCGTTGTGTTTTTATTTTCTTGTGGTTGAGCAGGCCCGGCGAGCCTAGACTAACCGACCCCGAAGCGCAGGGCATCACCATCACCATCACCATCACCATCACCATCACCATCACCATCACCGTGGCCACCATCACCATCACCACCATCACCATCATCATCACCATCCCCATCACCAGTGCCATCCCCATCACTATCACCATCACCACCACCGTCAACATCCCCATCACCATCCCCATCCCCGTCCCCATCACCATCACCAACACCATCACCATCACCATCAGCATCACCATCACCATCACCATCACCATCACCATCACCATCACCATCACCATCACCATCACCATCACCATCACCATCACCATTTCCATCACCATCACCATCACCATCACCAACACCAGCACCAGCACCAGCACCATCAGCATCAGCATCACCATCACCATCACCATCACCATCACCATCACCATCATCATCATCGCCATCACCATCACCATCACCATCACCAATCTGCATCACATCACCACCATACCATCACCATCACATCACCATCACCATCACCATCCATCACCATCACCATCACCATCACCATCACCATCACCATCAGTTTCGTGTTTTCTTTGAGGTTGAGTAGGGCCAGCGAGCCTAGACTAACCCACCCAAAGCGCAGGGCATCACCATCACCATCACCATCACATCACCATCACCATCAACCATCACCATCACCATCACCATACCATCACATCCATCACCATCACCTCACCACAACCTTCACCATCACCATCACCATCATCACATCACCATCACCATCACATCCCATCAACCATCACCACCATCACCATCACCCATCATCACATCACCATCACCATCTCCATCACCATCACCACCATCTCCATCACCATCACCATCACCATCACCATCACATTCCATCACATCATCACCACCATCACCATCACCATCACCATCCCATCACATCCCATCACCCTCACCATCATCATTCACATCACCATCACCATCAGCCATCACCATCACCATCCCATCACCATCACCATCACCATCACCATCACCATCACCATCACCATCACCATCACCATCACCATCACCATCACCATCTCCATCTCCATGTCCATGTCCATGTCCATCTCCATCTCCATCTCCATCTCCATCTCCATCGCCATCGCCATCATCACCATCACCATCACCATCACCATCACCATCACCATCACAGTCACCATTACCATTACTATCACCGCCATCACCAGCACCAGCACCATCAGCATCACCATCACCATCACCAGCATCACCATCACCATCACCACCATCACCACCACCACCATCCTGCTCCTCTCTTCTTCTTCTTTTTCTTCTTGCAGAGGCCTTGTGGCTGGTTCCGCCGACCCCAGAAAGATAACAGCTTTTGGGCACGAGGCGGACGGGGGGAGGGGCCCTGCTGTGGCGGGTTTCGTGTGGGGGCGAAATTGTAGTGTGTGTGTGTGTGTGGAAGTCCGAAGAGGGCACGAGTACGGGAGAAGAGTCCCCAAAGAGGGCTTAAGGACAGCTCGAGCGCCTCCAAGATGGTTCACGACAGCCGAAACAAGTTGCCAAGAGGCTCCCAAGACGAGCCCAGGAGGGCCGACGAGGACCCCGACAGACCCCAAGATATTTCTTTAGGTTGGTGTCTGACTTTCGCATATGTGCTCGCTTTTTCGGTCGCCAGGCCGCCCAAGACAGATCGCCCCAAGATTGCCCAGAATAGCCAAGAGGGCCCCAAGCGAAGCCCAAGTCGGCCCAACCAGGGCCCAATATTGCCCAAGAGAGCCTCAGGATGGCCCCAGAGGTCCCTTAGCGAGACTCAAGACTGCCCAAAGAGGACGGCCCGAGAAGGGCCCACGGCGGTCCCAAGAGACCCTTAAGACGGCCCAAAGAGCTCCAAGATGGTATAATAGGGTGCCGATACGGCCCAAGATGGCACCCCAAGAAGCAGCCCCAAAGATTCCCGAGGCAGCCCAGGAGGCTCCAAAAAACGGCCTCGACGGGACTCTAGCCCCAAAGTGCCCCGATTTGGCCGAGGCGGTCGCAAGACGGCCCACGAGACCTCCAGGAGACACCCACTGACGCCCAAAAGAGCCTCGAGACCCGAGACGAGGTGGGAGATCGAAGACGAGGGGGGTCAGAAGCTTCCTTCTGCCGTCACCCTCCCTCCTTCCTGTTTTCTCTCCATCATGCGCTTCCTCTCTCCTTCCACCCTCGCCCGGAGGACGCCTCCAGTATGGCCCCAAGAGGCCGCAGAAGCACATCAAGAGGACCCCAGAACGCGAGCACGGGCCCACATGGTCCCCCCAAAGCCCCGAGGTGGCCGCGCGAGAGTCCAGCGACGGAAAGGGGAGAATGAGGAGGAGGGGGAGGAGGAGGAGGAGGAAGAGGAGGAAGGGGTGGAGCAAGAGTAGGAGCACCGTATTTGTCCATCCTCACCACTTCCCCCCCCCGCCCTTCTCATCCTTCCGCATCCTCCTCCTCTTCCTCCTCATCCTCCTCATCCTCCTCATATCAATCGTCATAGTCGCTCCTCATGCCCTCCTCCTACCCTCCTGCTGCCCTCATTCTTCGCCCTCTTCTTCATCTTCTTCCTCCTCCTCCCTTTTTCCTACTCTTCCTCCCTCCTCCCTGCTTCCTGCTCCCTCATCCTCTCCCTCCCCAATGCCCTGCTTCCCCACCCCCTCGCTCCTCCCCATGCCCTGCCCTTTGGTAGTTGGAGAGCGCGGGGCAGGAACACCAGCCAGAGATAACATGTTCATGCGTATTGGGGCGCTCGGGGGCGCTCCCAGGCGCTCGGAGACCCTCGGAGACGCTCGGAGAAACTCGGATGCCCTCGGAGACGCTCGGAGGCGGTCCTCATCGTCGTCTTTGTCATCTTTGTCGTCGTCGCCGTCGCCGCCGCCGCCATCGCCGTCGTCGTCGTCGTCGTCGTCGTCGCCGTCGTCGTCGTCGTCGTCGTCGTCGTCGTCGTCGTCGTCGTCGTCGTCGCCGTCGCCGTCGCCGTCGCCGTCGCCGTCGCCGTCGCGTCGCCGTCGCCGTCGTCGCGTCGCGTCGCAGTCGCGTCGTCGTCGTCGTCGTCGTCGTCGTCGTCGTCGTCGTCGTCGTCGTCGTCGTCATCGTCGTCGTCGTGGTCGTGGTGTCGTTGGTCGTCGTGGTCGTCGCCGTCGCCGTCGCGTCGCCATCGCCGTCGCCGTCCCGTCGCCGTCGCCGCCGTCGTCGTCGTCGTCGTCGTCGTCGTCGTCGTCGTCGTCGTCGTCGTCGTCGTCGTCGTCGTCTCCCACTTCTCCTCCTCCTCCTCCGCCTCCTCCTCCTCCTCCTCCTATCCTTGTCTTCCCTAGCCATTTTGGCTCAAGCCGCTCTGGCTCAAAACGGTGAGAAGAAGAGCAACAGGGCCAGCCCCGCCTGGGTAGCTTCTGGCCGGAGGCCGCCTCCGCCGCCGCCATGTCCCATCGCAAGTTCGAGCATCCCCGGTGCGGCAGCCTGGGCTTCCTGCCGCGCAAGCGCACCAAGCTCGGGGGGCGGTCAGCCGAGCACCTCACCGATCCTGGCCAGACGCCTCCTGGGCCCCAGATCGGCGCACACGCCTTCCCGGCCTGACCAGAAGAGGAGGAGGAGGAGGAGGAGGAGGAGGAGGAGGAGGAGGAGGAGGAGGAGAGAGGAGGAGGAGGAGGAGGAGGAGGAGGAGGAGGAGGAGGAGGAGGAGGAGGTGTGGGCACCGATCCTGGGCCCGGGGGGGGGACCTGGCAGGGATGGGTGAGGTGGTCGGTGGACGCCGCCCGACGAGCACCACTTCGGCAAGATCAAGAGCTTCCCGAAGGACGACGAGAAGAAGCCGCCGCACCTGACCGCCTTCATGACCTACAAGGCTGGCATGACCCACATCGTCCGCGACGTGGACCGGCCGGGCTCCAAGCTGCACAAGAAGGAGGTGGCCGAGGCCGTCACCATCCTCGAGGCTCCTCCGATGATCGTTGTCGGCTTCGTGGGCTACGTGGAGACGCCGCGCGGCCTGCGCGCGCTCACCACGGTGTGGGCTGGCCACCTGAACGAGGAGTGCAGGCGCCGCTTCTACAAGGCGTGGCACAAGTCTAAGAAGAAGGCGTTCACCAAGTACGGCAAGAAGTGGGAGGATGCCGCCAAGGCCGGGGGTGACGCCCCCATGGCGGCGGAAATCGCGCGCGCCAAGAAGTACTGCCAGGTCATCCGGGCGATATGCCACACCCAGGTCACCAAGGTGAAGATTGGTGCGAAGAAGGCCGTCATCAAGGAGATCCAGATCAACGGCGGCACCACCGAGGCTAAGGTCGACTACATCATGGGCTTGTTCGAGCAGGAGGTGAAGGTCGCAGATGTGTTCAAGTCGAGCGAGATGGTCGACTGCATCGGGGTCTCGGCTGGCCGCGGCTTCAACGGCGTCGTCACGCGCTGGGGCGTCACCCGGCTGGCACGCAAGTCCCACCGCGGCCTGCGCAAGGTCGCGTGCATCGGCACCTGGCACCCAGCGAGGGTCCAGTTCCAGGTGCCTCGATCCGGCCAGAAGGGGTACGGACACCGGACAGAGATCAACAAGAAGATCTATCGCATCGGCAAGAACGTCAAGGAGGACCCCAACAGCGCCACGACCGAAAACGATTTGACCGAGAAGGGCATCACCCCCCTGGGCGGCTTCTCCCACTACGGCGAGGTGAATGAGGACTGGGTCATGGTGAAGGGCGGTGTCGTGGGCACTCGCAAGCGCGTGATCACGCTCCGGAAGTCGCTGCTGCCGCAGGTGAGGCGCAAGGCGCTGGAGGAGGTCTCCTTGAAGTTCATTGACACGTCGTCCAAGATGGGCCACGGCCGCTTCCAGACGGCAGAAGAGAAGGCGAAATTCTTCGGCACGGCGAGCCAGCCGGCCAAGAAGGCCAAGAAGGAGAAGAAGGACGAGACCGAGGCCCAGGAGGCGTGATGAGGAGGCCTGGCTGGCAAGCTCCTCCTCCCGCGCTTTGCCTCTCCTCCGGTCGGCCTGTAGCACCCTCCCTCGGCTGCAGCAGGCGGCCGGACCAGAGGCTCTCTGGAGGCGCTGAGGCGTGGCGGAGCCCCCAACAACATCCGTCCTCATCCTCCTCCGCGCCGTCCCATGACCGAGGGCCGGTGCGATCGAGATGGGCAGGGAAAGAATGGGGACGAAGGCCAACGGCGGTTTCTGCCCGTGTGGACCAGGATGCGCTGTCGGCGTCGCCGCAGACGTCTGTAAGTCTGGGGCAGAGAGTCGCAGGCCCCACAGCGGCCGCTGTCGGTGTTTCGCAGCATTTGCTGCTGGGCATCGTACACCTTAGGCGATGCTTAAGAAAACCTATTTTTTTGGCCAGAGTCTTGATTATTCTTAATGTTTCAATGTAAATCCTAAGATTTGAGTGGATTTTTTGGGTTTTTACTCAAGTTCTGAGACTATAAATTTCTTAACCCATGATTTCTTAAGCATCTCGCAGGGTGTACTCATCATGTCCAGACCCACGTCGGGCGTGCAGGGGGGGAGGCAGACAGAGTGACCTTGGCTGGGCAAATCCTGGAGGGGCAGTCAGGCCGCCCTGCAAGGCGCGGCCGCGCTCGCCTGGGCCCGCGCCGCGTGGATGCGGCGGCGACCCCGGCGCGGGCACCCAAATGGTGGAACGCCGCTGGTGGCGCTCTACCCCGAGATCCGTCGTCGCGAGCAAACATGTAGCACCGTCGAGAGTCACGGCCGGATCTCGGGAGCCCACCTGTCTGCGGCACTTCTGCCGGCTGGACCGACCCGTGAGGGCCCCAGGGGTCCGAGATCGGGCGAAACCGCCTTTCATGGGAAAGCTGCAGCGCCTGGATTTCAGGGTAATCAGAAGGCCGCGATCGCTCAAGGCGGAACGATCCGCGCGGCGTCGGAGACCGCTGCCCACAAGCAGGCCTGGCAGCCCCAGCGAGGGCGCACGCTGGGAACGCGCGGCCTGGCCACCTCGACTCCGAGAGTCTGTTTTTTTCCACCCGCGGTCCCAGAGCTCCCGACCCTTTGCCTGGTGTCAGTGTCTGTCGCCCAGGAGCCATGTCTTATCTGCCGCAGTGCCCGACCACGGGCCCCCGGCCGAAGTCGAGGAAGAGCGCCGGGATTGCAGCGAACACATCGTCAGAGATTTGGGCCCGTCTTTGATGGTCGCGAGGCCCGATGATGCGGGCCCAGGGGGCCGAAGTCGAAGGAGAGCAGCACGACCGAACGACACACGCGTCGTCTGAGATTCAGACACGCGGCCTGGCCGCGCGCCCGCGAGGCGGGCCACGAGGCAGAGGTGGCGGCCGGCAGCCCCGCCTTGGACATGAGCGGCATCAGCTTCGCGTCGTCGGGGGCCGTGACGCCATCGGCGGGAGGGGGGAGGGGCCGCTGCCTCCTCGGGGAGCCCTGGGGCCTCCGACGCTGTGCGCGCGCTCGTGCTCCGTCCGCGGCCGCCCCCCCCCATCCGCAGGAGCTCTCGGCGGCCCCGCCCGCGGCGCCCCTCCTCCTCCTCCTCCTCCTCCTCCTCCTCCTCCTCCTCCTCGTCCTCCTCCTCTTCCTCCTCCTCCTCCCCCATCCTCCTCTCCTCCCTCCTCCCTCCTCCTCCTCCTCCTCCCTCCTCCTCCTCCTCCTCCTCCTCTCCTCCTCCCCCTCCTCCGCCTCCTCCTCCTCCTCCGCCGCCTCCTCCTCCTCCTCCTCCTCCTCCTCCTCCCTCCCTCCTCCTCCTCCTCCTCCTTCCTCCTCCTCCTCCCCCTCCCCCCCCCACTCCTCCTCCTCCACCTCCCCCTCCTCCTCCTCCTCCTCCTCCTCCTTCTCCTCCTCCTCCTCCTCCTCCTCCTCCAGCTCCAGGCGTTGCGGCAAAGCTCGTGGCGGCCGGTTTGGCGTCGCCTTCGGCTTCTGGAGGCCGCTTTCTGGCCCCAGGGCCTGTCGACGGAACGGCCCGGGGTGAAGACCAGCCCCGGGGGAAGCGGTGATCTCTGGAGGCCGGGTCCTGGCCCCGGGGCTGCCAACAGAACGACCCAGGGTGAGGACGGGCCCCGCGAGAAGCGGTCGAGATCCCCTGGGGTCGACTTCACGAGCAGAGTGCAACGTCGGAGCATGCCTCCCTTCCCCGCTGGGTGCGCCACCCTCCGAGGGCCCCTCTGGGGGGCCCTGTAGGTCGGCTCCACGCCCTAGTGGCCCTTCCAGTGGGCAGTTCTCGGCGCCGGAAATGGGGGGGGTGGGGCGAGCGCCCGAGCGCGCGGGCCGCCACTGTCGCACCGCGTGCGGCGATCGGCACGCCGCGCACCAAGGGTCAGTCTTGCCCAGACCTCCGACGCTGTGATCCCCAGTCGGGACCACGTCCCCGGGACCCCCGCGGGTCCACTAGACCATTTCTTGGGGACCGGTTTGCCATCCCGAGCCGTTTCTTGCTCGTCCCAGGGCCAGGTGGAGGCCCCCCATGGGGCCGAGAGTGGCCAAGAGTTTCCCACGTCGTGCTCTTGTGACGACGCGAGTACTGGGCCGCTCATCCGGGGCAGCCCGTGGATGCCCAGACCCAGAGATCGGAGGGCACCAACTATACATTTACACCGATCCTTGGCCCAGGACCGGTGTCTATGCCTTTCTGCCCATGCCAGAAGGGCGTGTACCCCGTCAGATCTGGCGCTGCACGGAAACTTCAACATCGTGACAAATCACCTGGAGCCCTAGACCCCATGTTTCTGATGCATTTTTCGAGCCGGGTCGATCTGTGAGGGACCCCAGGGCCCGGAAGCCAGCGAAAACGCCCGTTGTGAACAAGCTGCAGCGCCCGGATCTGAGGGTACGCCGATTTTGGGCCCAGGGCGGGCCTGGCCAGAGTCGGCAGACCACCGCCAGAAGGCGCGCCGTCTCCTGAACTGTCCTTGCTTCTCTGTGCCGTGGCACGTCAGCCGATGTGTCGTGCAGACACGGCGTTATTGATTGATCGATTGATTTATTGATTGGTGGGCCTGGCCAGAATCGGTGTACAGTGCGGGCGCGGCCGCTTACCCTCAGAATCCGTGCGCGAGGTACACCTGACGGGAAACCCAGAGCACCCTGAACGCAGCAGCTCCTTCAACGTCTGCGGGGAGTCACCGCGCAGCGCGAGGAGCGAAGAGACCCAGGACACCCTGACGAAAAGCGTATGGTTTCTCGATGCGCGCTCCCACTGTAGGTGTACAGCCGGCGCCCTCCAGAGAGGGGCCCGCCGTCCTGACGGTGCTGCGGGCGCTGGGGCTCGGCACCGCGGGCGCAAGCGGCGGGCCTCCGCGGGCGGGCCTCCGCGGGCGGGCCTCCGCGGGCGGGCCTGGAGCTGGCCTGGGGGGGTCTGAGGTGGCCCAACGTCGCAGGCCCAGAGGTTGACACCAGCACCGAGGTCGGCGGTGTGCCTCCAGCGAAGGAAGAAGATCCCGATCTCGGTCATGGTGGTAAGGTTCTGGCCTCCAAGGTGGCCGAAACATTACCACCAAGACCGAAATCCAGGATCATCTTCCCCCTGCGGAGGCCCCCCCCTGTGTTGGTGTTGGTGCGCATGGCCAGGCCTCCAAACACACTGTTTCAGGGAGCAGGAAGGTGTGGCGGGGTTCCATGCGCTGGGTTCGAGGAGGCTTTTCATCGTTTTCGGCCTCCGGGGGCCGTTGTCGGGACGCGGGACCGTCAGAAACGGGTCCAGAGTGAAAACTTGTATCAGATGGAGGAGTTATTTATTAGGAAGGGTGGAGGATGGGGGGGGCGGGAATGGGGAGCTATCGAGTCCGCCCCACGCACTTACCTCTTCCTGTCCCTCCTCCCCCCCTCCGCCTCCCCCTGTGCCAGCTCCCAGACCTCTCCTCTCACTCTTCCTCCCTTGTTGAGCGGCCTCCTGAACCGCGCCGTCGTCGTCGTCGTCGTCGTCGTCGTCGTCGTCGTCGTCGTCGTCGTCGTCGTCGTCGTCGTCGTCGTCGTCGTCGTCGTCGTACTCTTTCTCCTGCTGGTTTCGCTCTTCCTCTTCCCCCTCTGGGCAACGTCATCGATTGTTTTGCCCTTGGTGATGCCCCGCCGGGGGTGAGCGAGTCCCCGGTTCGTGGCGGCGCGCAGGCCCGGCACTGTTTGTCGTGCCCGCAGCCGAGCGCTTTGGCTCTGACTGATCATGGCTGCCTCGGTACGCTCGTTTTGATACGCAATACGTGCCGTGGGGTTGCGTGCCAATGGGTTGCGTCCATGCCAATGGGTTGCGCGTTGGCTCAACGTATCGGCCCAGGTTTTGGCGAACTCGTCGCGTCAGACCTACGTTTGCAGTCTACGTGTTGAGTTCCATATCAGTACGCTACGTGTTGCGTGTTGCGTATCGGGGCAGCTAAGTAATTGATGTGAAGGCCTGCGGCCCATGCCGCCGTGTGCGAGCTTGTCCTCGCACTGAAATCCCCTGGCGCTCAGACTCACGCAAACTCAGGCCTCGCACGCGCGCAAATTCGACTTCGCTGGTCTTCGGGCTCACCCATGTTCGGATGATCCACGTTCGCATCCGCTCCTGTTCAGTTGGGGGGTTGAAGTTTCAGGGTTTAGGGTCCACTAGCCCAAACTTGAAGCCTGTTGGACGTGTCCCACCCACCCATGACCCAAGACATATTGATCTCAAAACGACGACGACGATACCGATGACGAAGACGACGATATTGATTTCAAAACGACGACGACGACAGTCGCGCAAAGTCCTCTGGGAAGCCGCTGCAACGGCGATGCGGCACGCGCGCGCGACGACGCGATTTGAAGAACAACGTATAGTTACGCGAGTCCCTGTGCGTCGCATGGACGCCGCCCAGCGGCGGTGAGATTGCATGGAGTGGCTGCGCAACGAGCGCGGGATAGCTCGTTGCCTCGAGGAGACGGATCCCCAATTCGCATGCGTAGAATTGCGGCACGGTGCGCGAAGGCCGATGCAAGGGCGATGCGACGCGCGCACGCGAAGCGACATTATAGCCGGAGTGCAGTATCCCCAAACAGGGTTTTTAGACCCACTGCGGTTTCCAAGGTCGATTGCGTGCCCGCCTAGTGCGGGCTGGCATGGCATGTTAAAACATGCCTCCTCCTCCTCCTCCTCCTCCTCCTCCTCCT